GGTCCTGGCAAAGGGCAGGCATATAGATCAACTGAACAAAATGAGAATCCAGTAGTTGAGCATAGTATATGGTCAACTGATTTTTAACAAAGCTGATTAGGCAAATCAACAGCGTCAGGATAGCTTTTTCAACATATGGTACTTAAACAAAAAGAACTTTTATATAGTTTTTTTTCTTTGCTTTTTTTGTACTGGGGATCAAACTCAGGAGCTTACACTTGCGAGGCAGGTGGCAGCACCACTGAGCTAAATCCCCGGGCCCATACTCTATTTTTAACAAAAAAAAATACTAAGCATTATCTGTGTCTTTCTCATTGCTTCACATTAAGAGGCAAATAATGTTAAATTTTTTTGGGGGGGGGGGCAGGGTTCCCAGGACAGAACTTGGGACCTTGGGTTTGAGAGCCAGGCGACAGAATCACTGAGATAAATCCCCAAATAATGTTAATTTTATCTTATTATTGGTGATGATAAGTTTGATCAGTTGGTTAAGTATGTCTGCCACATTTTTAATTATAAAAATTCTTTCTTCTCTTTCTAAATAACAAAGAGACCCACAGAATTTAATGTTTACAGTGTGAATATTCTGTTCTTCACACTTAATGGCTTTAATAGCCACTGTTAATTCTTGCCAGAATCAACTGTTACAATAAAGTTTTAATAGCCCTGAACAAAAGTTGTACAATTCTGAGTCAACATTTGGCCATTTTATATAACATTTATAATCCTTCAATTCTACTCTTTTCCTCATTACCACATTCAAAAAATAAGTAGTTGGCACTGGTACATACCTAGCTTCATCAGGATGAGTAATCCTTACAGAATCATTGGGTATATAGATCATATTTGTATCTTCTATTTTGTATATTGCATGGCCTCCAATATCTGCCATCTTCCTCCTTTTAGTTATTAGCACAATATAATAGCCTTCTAAAAACCTGACAAAACCTGTGCAATAAAAAAGAAAAATAAATATAATGTTTTGTAAACTTAGTGATGTTTTTAGATACTTATTTAAACAGCTAAATACTTTTTTATTCATTAAATTTATTGGTACATTTTAGGTATACATTATAATCAAATTCACCACTGGGAATTTGTACCTATACATGGTATATCTTGATTCTTTATTCCCTTATCCCCTTCTCTCCCTTTCACCCCTCCACCCCTCCCTAATTACAAAAAAACTTTGTTTCTGTTTTTTCTTTCTTTTCTCATATTTTTCCCCTTTGTTCTTTTCCCTTAGCTCCCGCACTTCCCCTTCCCCTTTGAATCTTTTCTATTTCACATTATCTTTTGTACACTTTGGTACTCATTTACACTTTCAGTTTCTCACACCAGAGAAACTACTTGGTTATTTACACATGTGTGTCCTATTTATTTAACTTAAGAGTACTGCCTCAATGTGCATCCATTTAGCTATAAATGTCTCTAGTTTATCATTCTTTATGGCTGAGTAGTACTCCATTTTATTAAAAAGAACAACCACATCTTCTTTATCCAGTCAACAGTTGATGGGCATTTGGGCTGGTAAACAGTCAAATACTTCAGATACATTTCCTACTTTATTATTTCTATGATTTCTATGATTTCGACTCATACAGATTTTGAGTTGTCTTAGAATTGTTAGTTACTGTCATTTAAAAATATTACTCTAAAATTTTATGTACTTCATTAATTCCTCTAATTTCATTACACATAGGACTGAGGTCCCTTAAATAAAAACATATACAAGATTAAGGGAATTGTTCAATTTATATACACTTTTAATTCTGCATAGATGAAAAGTTCTAGAACTCTGTCACACACACGGTAGAGTTGCCACTGATGAATTGTACATTGAAAATTATTATGATGATACATTTTATATTTCTGCTGCAATTTTATTTACACAGGATTGATAAAAATGAAAGAGAAGATTACAGTAAAGGAAAACAATCTTACAAAGTATAACATGAATCCAAGAATAAAAGTAATACATAATGATATATAGCTTAAAGTCCTACTTACTATTTGCATTTGCTATACACACTGAATTACACACACATAGTGGCTATAAGATAAATACCAAACCAGTTACTTTCAGAAGCTGTCCTAGTTCTGAGAACTAGGAGAAACTCTGAGCCTTCGTAAAAAGGCATATAATAAAGGACACTGGAGGATGCATTAGGGCTATTTCCCATGACAAAGCACAATTCAATAAATGGCATTCTTTATGAACTAAAAGAATGCAGACAAAGCACACAGTTGAATGGTGGTCTGGTTTCACTTGAAGATAAGATTTAAATATCTAGGGAGACATTTCCTCTAATGTGTTTTCCATAAAATACAACTGAACAGATTCCACTGGAGAGAAGGGTGGCTGTGAGCAAATAAATTAAAGAAATACTGGGCTGAAGAAACTTAAAACAATCCACATAAACTGTCAGAGCCTTCCAGTGCTGTGCTAGCATGCACTGTGAATCTTGATGAGTAGCCCTCTGGAGTCCTTTGATCATGGATCCTTCCTCCTCCTTCCTTTAAAAAAAATTTATCAATTAATAAATGTTTGAGGAAAATATTTCATATTTTTGGAAAAACAAACTTCACAGAATCTTGGTAAATAATGTCAAAGCTGAACATAAACCAGCTTAAACTAAGAAGAGAAATTTATACTGAGGATACTGAAGTGATTCATGACACTCATGGGCAAATATGTGACTACGCATCAAAACACACCTAGTCATGCAGCGTCTTTGAACATCTACTCCACTCCTCTCTCTCCATAGAACAGATCCCTCTACTTCTCTCACGTGGCAGGAAACACAGCTGCTGAGAGCTCTAACCGTCCAACCAAAAGGTCCACCAGGAAGAAACTGACTTCTATAAAAGTCAAGTTCAATCCCAGAATTCACTTGGATTGATCCAACTTCAGTTGAATGCTCAGTCTTGGACCCATCAGCTATGGCCAAGGAATAGGGTCACAGTGCATTGGAAGACATTTTATAAATAACTAGGTAACTTAGATGGGGCAGGAGGGAGGTGGTGCTGATTCCCAGAAAAGAGAAGGAGTTGGGAAAAAAAGATATGTGCAAATATCTTCTCATAGTTAAGCTTATGAAAATACGGTTATGTATCTCTTATCCAAGATAATTGGGAAAATATTCCAGATTATGGATTTTTCAAAAAAGCTTTTAAATATTTGCATATACCTAATGAGATATCTGGGGATGAGATATAATTTAAACATGAAATTCATTTATGATTCATATATATCTTACATACATAGCCTGAAAGTAATTTTGTGTAGTATTTTTAATAAACTTGTACACAGTTTTATAGTGTAAAATCTTCCACTGGTGTGACTAGTCCACAAAAAATTTCAGATTTTGAAGTATTCTGAGTGTTTGGATTAAGGGTGCTCAACCTGCCTTAGAGAGTCACAAAATAAAGTTATATGTTACATTAAGTCATTACAGTGTGTATGTTCTGTACTGGTGATTAAAGAAAGATCCATATACACTCATGTTTAGTAGGATTAAGTAGGAACACAGTAGTTACCACAGTATTAAAAAAACCCAAACAACCAAAACCTTTTTGGCTTCCAGAACTTTTGCTTTAAGAGTTAAAACTAACTTTCTTGGTAGAAGGAAGGGGATGCTTTTGAAATGGCAATTCAAGGAGGTGGACAGACCCATTTCCTAAGGAAATTATCACAATTGGTGAAAACTGTAAAAATAACAAAACACTGAAAGTTTCTGGAAACTTGTCTTAAGGGGATACAGCAAATGGAGAAATATTTATTTATGAAAATCTACTAAATCTTGCTAAGAGCAGCAAGTCTGTGGCATTTAAATCATGGTCTACTCACGCATATCCCTCCTAGTTCAGCATGCCAGGCGACTTACACCAGGCAGGTACAGCCAGGTAAAGAGACTGAAGACAAGCAAACAAATTGAGAATAAGGATTTAGAAACTCTGGAGCAATTTGAGATTATCATAACATCTGTGTGCATGATTACTGTCTTCAAACAGGACATACACTGGTTTGGGTAACACTGAATATTTATTTGAGTTATACTTGGTATAATCTGCATACAAGTTATGCACCATGCATTAGTCTTCAACATATAGTAGGAAGGATTGGTCCTTTACTACAAAGAATTGAGAAACAGGGCTCTACATTCTGTCTGTGTGTGTGTATGTATGCATGCACATGTGGTACTGGGGATTTACCCAGGGGTTTTACACTAAGCTACATCACCAGCCCTTTTCACTTATTTTTTCATTGTTTTTAGTTTGAGATAGGGTTTCTCTAACTCACTAAGTTGCCCAGACTGAGCTTGAACTTGTGATCGTCCTGCTTCAGCCACCCAGATTACTGGGTTTAGATTCTTACAGAATATATAATAAATTAACAAGTTAATAGTTCAAAACATTCCAACAAAAATATACACAAATTGAGCATGCTAAAAGTTAGCAGAAAAAGTAGATTGTAGTCATTTCACATATGTATCATTTTGACAACTACTCAAGGATAAGTATTTTGTATTCTATAATTTTAGAATCCCTCATTGCAAGTGTATTTTAAGACAATACTAGAAAAATCACAGAGTTTTCATTAGCTCTATTCACTCTTCACTGACCTCAAACTTCATTTACATGGTTAAACTGGGCCATATAAAAAGCCTAAAAATAATAATTGTGTTTAATACATTATTTTATTGCTTCACTTGCAGTTAGGTCTTTCTATGATTTCACCATCCAAGAACAATTTTAAACCAAAGAGGCCTCAAACTACAAAAGAAATAGCTACGAATGTTGTCTTTAAGAAAAACACAGAGACACCTTAAGTCTTCACCTAGAGTTTATTAATAATTGTGTGCAAATATCTGGTTATAAACTTTATTATCAATATATTCAAATAAGGCTTATAGCTTGTAAGCTTAGTTACAACAGATTAAATATTAGGCAAAGAATATTGCTAAAAGCAAAAAATATTGTTAAAAGCAAATATGTCAAGAACAATGAAAAATGATCAACCTATCTTAAAAACAAATACTAGGAAACGTATGGGCCATTTAACGTAAAGGCAAACAGCCTAACAACAGCTGGAGAACACACAAGGATAACTAATTTTACACAGTTCAAAAACTGATCTTCAAGTCTTACATTTAATCACCAAGGAACCCTCCCCTCCCCTCCCCTCCCCTCTCCCCTTTCTTTCCTTCTCAGTAGTGGGAATGAATGTTAAGCCCATTTCACTGAGCTACATTCCCTGTTGCCATCCCACACCTTTTTGGAGACAGGACCTTGCTAAGTCACTAAATTGCCCCGCCTGGGATGGAACTTGGGCTCTTTCTGCCCCTGTCTCCCAGAGTGCTGAAATTATATGCATCTGCCACTACAACCAGCTGAAATTTTAATTCTAATAATAAAATCTGGCAAATAATGCATTCAATATTACATATACCTTAGGACTTTTCCATCAAAAAGTTGTATTAAAATATCAGCATTTTAGGGCCAGGGATTTAGCTCAGTAGTACTGTGCCTGCCTTGTAAGTCAAGGTCCTGAGTTCGACGTACCAAAAAAAAAAAAAAATCAGCATTTAAAATTATAAACTATTAGCTATTATTTCAATTAAAACCTACTGTATTTAGGACATAATTTTTCTTAAATTTAGTCTTATCTAATTTAAAATATAAGCAAGACTTAAGAGTATAATTTGACACATAGGGAATTTACAGAATTTAAACACATAAATTCACTTGACAGAAATAGACATACCCAACCCACAAACACTGATGCAATCAACATGTAACCTCCATGGACTTGGCAAGACTGAGCAGAAGGCCTGCCACAGGGCCAGCATATGGAAGGGGAAGCCAATCATGCCCTCCCATTTTACCTTCCCTGACATCATCCTAAGACCCAAAAAGGACCTAGGAGAGTTACACAGAAGTTACAAGAGCACAGTGGAAAAAATAAAAACCTTCAAATATGGCAGAATATAATCAGTTTCAGTAAATACTGTCAAAATAAAAGTGCTATTCGAAAATGTAACATAAGTCCATGTCAAATGTTAATATGCAGAAACTATTTAGTCAATATTGTATACAGCCTAGAGGGTTTAAGAAACAGAGATAATTTTATAAGTTTAAAAAGAAAACATTCAAAAAGGTTCTGGCAGCTGAGATGCTGAGATGTAACACCCTCTGCCATCTTCATGTCTCCTCTGCTCTCACTCCTACCAGAGCCCACTTGTTCCCCTCCCCCTCAGGGTCTAGCTTGAGTCTCCAGTACTCCAGGAAACATTTCCTGGCTATTCCAGGTCCAAGTAGCCCACCTCTTATGTAATCTCTAACCCAATTTAACTAAGATAACTTGGCTTTTAATTATAATCTTGGAATTGTTTCATGTGTGTTAATTTTTGTCCTCTGTCCTAGGCCGATCAGGCACAAGCATACACTATAGTGAAGACAGGGTTATTGCCCCACTACAATAAGGGAGCTCAGGAGCACACCACCAAGGGAAAGGAAAGTAGGGCTTAGGTAAAATTTAAATGAAGAGGTGTAAACTAAAGCAGACTGTATTTAAAGAGATCAATAACAATTCCATACCAGGAAGTAGATCTAGGGTCCTGTTTCCTTAAAAACAACAAAGTTAGCATAGCTATGGAGTGTACTGTCCAGAAGCCCTTAACTAAAGTTCTTCATCTGAGTTGTAAATCAAAGCCACTTCTCTCTGTCAAGTGACTTAGATCCTGTTTTGTTTTATTTTGGTACCAAGGATCGATACCAAAGTTTTTGGATACCGAGTTTTTGGAACTCGGGACCTTGCACTTGCAAGGCAGGTGTCAGAACCACTGAGCTAAATCCCCAGCCTGAGTGACTTAGACCATCCAGGTATGGGTGGGAAGTTTTATCTTCCTGAGACAATTTCAGATAGCAATTTCTGGTGGTTTGTGATTTCAAAGAAAAGTTTCTCAGTGAATAAGAAAGTAGTCATCCTACAAAGAAGGGGGTTATGACATTGTATGGCTACAGCCTGTCTTTAGAAGAAACTCCTATTAAATTTAAAGCTAGTTTTACCATATCTGTTATTCCAGCTGATGAATGGCAGGGCAGATGTTTACAGTCCAAGCTAAAGTTTACTTTTTCATTCCACAGATTTCTCAAAAGGCCAAAAACATTTTTTTATTTGTTCATATCCTATATAAAACCAAGCAGTGCTGAGCATAATGCTTTATAAATGCTGTTTGATGACAGACTCATGGATAATGAAATTTTAAACAATATAAGACAGAGACGATAAGTTATAACTATAAAGCTATATAACCTTATAAATCCTCTTTAAATACTCTAGGAAGAGGGGTAAAAAGGTAGCCGACCAGAGCTACATTTCTTACCTACGACACCAAATGCTGAGACAGCTTGAAATAACCCAGAGGACCCTTTCTGTCCCATCTTTGTTCTATTTCCAAGATCCAGGCGGCCAAGAAGTTCTCGTACTTCTTGTTGAGTATATACATGCTAAAAATAAGCATATGAAATCTGTAAGATATTTACGTTTGAAAATTAAGTTGTTTATAAGAATCATCCACTATTTCATAAACAAATAAATAATTATATGTAAGTAAGCTATAATTTCAAAAGGTCAACAAATTTTTTAACATTAGCAATTAAGGCTGGTTACTGGATCATGTTACTATACTAAAAAATTTTGTCAAACCTTTCTGTGAAATTCAGAAATTTAAGAGTTCCAGACATATTTCAGTAAGTCTATGGATCCTTTAAAACTATACACAGAATTTTGGATCTAATGTTTGTGCTTTTGCATTGAAGACCTTTAGCTGTTATGAGCAATCACTTCCCATCCCCAAAATAAAGCCAAGAACCATTGCAGGCAGGCATACAGATAGGGAAATGGATTTCCAGGAGTAATGCAGAAAATCATAAAAATTTATCCAAAATTATTACAACACAGAAAATAGTTTTGCAAAGAGATTAATAAAAACGAGTTCCAAACTGAAGTTACTAATATACATGAAAAACAAATCCACATGGATGCAGAAGTATTCATAGATAGGAACTTCAATCCAAAGGGTAAATTCTTTCATTTGTAGAAGCTAAAATTAACCTTTTAACACCACTATGTTGTATTTCACTTTCGACTAACAGTTTCATGTTTTTGTGCTACCCGAATGAAGCCTCTGTATTCCTGACTCTGGATAACATAGTAACTGGATAAGAATAGCTTAACATTTCAGAAGAGGTGATTTTTAGCAGTGTAATAAAAAGTCTATAGCGTACAATTCTTCCCTAACTTCAGGTAACTTCATATTAAAGCACAGTAATAAATAATCTCTTTGGTAGATGAAGTATTAAGCCATGCTTAATATACGATGCTTAAAATGTCAATTCTAAGAAAATATATGCATTATCTTATCTAAAGACTATACTTTCAAAAATAAATCAAATTGAGAAAAAGTATAATTCTGGCATACTTCTCAAAATCAGTAATCTCCAGATGCCAGATTAGAGATTAAAATTCTAGCCAATGAATTATATTGTAATACAAGCATAATAAAAATTAATATGTCACTAAAAGCTGTAAGACTATTTCATACCCTTTAAACAACACATATAAAAGTTTGTTTGTAGTCAGGTTTGGAAGAGACTTACCCGATCATCAATTATGACCAAATCTTTTGGTTCTGTTCTATCAATTTTTAAGACGCGATACTTCGTTTCTGCATGATTGCTCCCAACTAGAAAGTATCTCTATAATAAAAGATGTCATTAGTTTTTAATGACATTTTGCCATACACACATTTTATAACCACTGCAGTTCTTGAAAAAACATTAATGAAGTCAAGTTCCTTTTTAAAGAATATTTCTGCTAAGCAAAGATGGCAGATGAAAGAAATACTGATTCCAAAAGGTCAATTTTAAAATTCAAACATTCTTAGTAGCTTCAAGATAAGTATCAGTCTGATGCCCGAAACGTGTCGAGCAACCAGATCAGATTTAATGTAATTCTATTATAAAATTAGAGGTTAACCTAATTGGAGACTAATGTTCAAACTTTGCTAGGAAAAAACTACTCTAGTAAGAGAAAGCTCAATGCACAATTAAGAAGCATGCACAATTAGTAAGCTTAGACAATTATAGCTATTAAAATATTGACAGCTTTTCAAATAAATCTTCAAACATTTTCTATAGAAGTATGAAAACAACTTTAATATAAGTATTAAAAAATATATTAAAATCATTGTACTTTCTTAAATGGCCTTTTATAGATAAGCTACAGGAAGTTAACATCTTTCCATTTCAAAAACACTACCTTGGAGCATTATAGCTGAACACAATAACATCAGTCTTCTTAAATGAATACTGAGAAAGAAAGAAATAATTAAAATGGGGGAAAATAATAATCACATATTTCATTGAAACTACTTTTTTTTTTTTTGGCACCAGGGATCGAACTTGAGTCAAGAATGGGAAAGATTTTAATATTTTGCTACATATCAGAATATGAACACATTGTTTTACTCTTGTAGCTCTAAATCTGTAGAAATAGTTGGGATTTTATTAAGTATGCAGGCATATGCCACATAATAACATTTAGTCACGGGTGGACCTCATATATGATGGTGGTCCCATAAGATGATATCACTTGCCATCACTCCCAGGGCAGAGGAGGTGAGCCAATCCCAGGGCCCAAGAGGAGGATCCCGGGCTGCCATTCCACTGCTCCCAGGGCAGAGATGAGCTAATCCCAGTGCTTAGGAGGAGGCCCTTGGGCCGCCATTCCACCACTCCCAGGGCAGAGGAAATGAGCCGATACCAGCACCCAGGAGGAGGCTCCCGGGTCACATTCCACCAGTCCCAAGGCAGAGGAGGTGAGCCAATCCCAGCACCCAGGAGGAGGTTCCCGGGCTGCCAATCCACCACTCTCAGGGCAGTGGAGGTGTGCCAATCCCAGCACCCAGGAGGAGTTTCCCAGACCACCATTCCTCCAGTCCCAGGGCAGAGAAGGTGAGCCAATCCCAGCGCCCAGGAGGAGGTTCCCAGGCCGCCATTCCATCAGTCCCAGGGTAGCAGAGGTGAACCAATCCCAGTGCCCAGGAGAAGGTTCCCAGGCCGCCATTCCACTACACTCAGGGCAGTGGAGGTGAGCCAATCCCAGCACCCAGGAGGAAGTTCCCGGGCCACCATTCCACCAGTCCCAGGGCAGAGGAGGTGAGCCAATCCCACAGCCCAGGAGGAGGTTCCTGGGCCACCATTCCATCAGTCCCAGGGTAGAGGAGGTGAGCCAATACCAGTGCCCAGGAGGAGGTTCCCAGGCCACCATTCCACCAGTTCCAGCGTAGAGGAGGTGAGCCAATCCCAGCGCCCAGGAGGAGGTTCCTGTTCTGCCATTCCACCACTCTCAAGGCAGTGGAGGTGAGCCAATTCCAGCACCCAGGAGGAGGTTCCTGGGCCGCCATTCCACCAGTCCCAGGGCAGAGGAGGTGAGTCGTACGGGCGCCAGCAGCATATACACCCCCCACCCCGGGAAAGGAGAAGACACGTAAACAAGCCTCAAAAACAGACTTCCAGACCACCTACAGCAACCCAAACAGGAAAGGAGATGGAGCAATCTGATACTCAACCACCTGCACTCCCTAAACTGACAACAAAAGAAGATTGGCAAAAAATGAAATCAGAAATAATTTCTCAGTAAAAGGAATAAAGATAGGAAATGAAGAAGTCAAATTGTCATTATTTGCAGATGACATGATACTCTATATAGAAGACCC